AGAACTATTTATGTTTTAGCCACCCAGGCTCATGTTGTCCCCCACCCCCATTTCTTTTAATACAATGAAGCAGCAGCATACATTGCTAAAACCAGTCAGTTGGCTATGAACACTGTGATACTGATGGGAACTCTTAATGGACTATGTTTGTATCAGAACTGGTTGGTTTAAATATATAAACATGTTCATAGCAGAAGTAACTTGGCAGATGCAGTAGTAGGTGTCACATGCAGGATATTTTTCCTGTTTTCTGTCCTGTGCAACTCATGTTACCTATAACTTGCACATACAACACACTGAACCTGTGCTATACAGAGTCGCACCCAACAGTATAATTCACCTGGGTGTGATCCTGTGCTTTGGAATTATAGTGCCCATCATCCTGAAGGGTTCCAACATGCTTTACACATAGCAATGCTACCTAGATTTAGGTTTAAAGGATAATCGAGTGTCAGGAACAGGAACTGCAGAAGGAATTACGTAGAATTACCCACCCATTTGGGAAGCATGCCAAACTAACATCCTCATTTTCTGAAAAATGTCACAGGCTGTTTATTCACCACAAGAGGTAGGACTGATGATATGCCCTATCTGAAAGATGGGATCTTCAGCAGCACCCTGTACTTGAGCACTTGCTTAGAGGGCAGAATGCAACTGGCAAATCACCAAATCCTCTTGTTGAAACACCTGTTTATTTTTGAAGGTCTCCCATCCAAAGTTGTGATTAAGTTCAATGGTGCTTACTGTATTCACAACAAGAATACTGACTTATACAACAGGCATGCAAGTTATTTGTTTTATAATATTCATGACAATTTCTGGTCAGTCTGTGGCAAGTAAGAAAAAATAAATACCTTCTCCATATCAACAGAGAGCTCAGCAAACCACTGCCTTGCATCCTTTTGCTGGACAACACAGGCCACATGGAGGCAAGCTGAAGAGAAACAAACAGAACCTTTTAACTGTGGGTTACTTGTTATTTATTTTAAGACACTCCTGAGCCCTTCTGGATAGGATTGGATACAAATCTAAATATAAATAGAGATGCGAGTAATGAACAAAGACTGGGGATTTTTTAATATGAATCAATTACAGATTTCAATGCTATTATTTCCCTCTGAATTTTTCTGCTTCCCTCTTTAACATGCCCAAGTCAGTTTTCAAGAGTTCAGCTCAGGATTAGATTTTCCAGTTACCTAAATAGATTTTCAGGTTATAGGCTCCCCACTGTCACCATCATCTGAAAAAGCTGAAGATGGCAAACAAATCAACATATTTTAGAAAATCCACTGTATACTAAGAAATGCACATGGAGGAAGACTATACAAAATGGATCTACTTTTGTATGATGAAGTATTTTAATTTGTTCTTACCTACCTAGAGCTATCATGAAAGGAGGGTACAGCAGACAAAGATCTGTTCTATACGTGTCATTCACTATCCTCCTGTGCAAACAAAAATAGTAAATAGTCATTGTACTGTTCTGACCTTTAATCCCATTTTTCTTTAAAAAACCCCTTCTATCTATTAGTCATGCAAACATCTTTTCATCTTCACTTTTAAAATAAAGAGAATTAGAGAGAAATTTAGGTGGGGAAAATTCACAAACAATAATATACATCCGTACACATTTCTTATCCTGGACCCTTTAATTACTTTCCATGTGATCACAGTAATTATTTACTTCTAATAGTGTAGATCAGGGTACCCTATTTACTAAAATATAAGACAATCTTGATTATAAGGCAACCCCCCCAATAATTAGAATATATGGACCATTTATAAATGTGCTCCAATTTTCCAGATATGGAATCTAATTATTGGCAGTTTGCCTTGAATTTGCTCCCTCCCTCCCACTGCTACAGCTGGGGTGGGTCAGATAGCCCTCTTCCCCACTGCCTTCCCAACTTCTTCCCCCTGCAGCTCTTTCCCTCCCACCCTTACTGGCAGACCCTGCTTTCCCTGAGCACATGGAAGTGAGAGGCAATTTGAAAACATGGATTTATAGGCAAATTATTATGGATATTAATTGAATTAGTTCATCCAGACTGATACATTTTAGCTTTTTTTTGGAAGCTGCTGCAAGTTTTAACACAGGTATTCCATAAACACACAGAGTCATTCAAACAGCATATGTAGCACTGCAACCGGCAAATATACTCCACCCCAGACTTTTCAGCCTGGGGCTTCAGATACTTCCAAATCCATCAGCAGGCATCCTACGTGCAGGCCCAAGCCTGAAGGCTTGAGGTTCAGATGCCCCTGAGTCTTGCTTGCCCTTAGCCAATAGCCACAGGAGCAAGCTAGGAAGGAGTCCCCCATTTCCATAAAGTAGGCATGTAGCCAAGATCTTCCTACTGGACACTGGCTAGTGGGAGGCTAACTATGAGGTTCTTGTAAGGAGTCCTATCTGCATTTAGAAAGGGGTGCACCCTCCACTACACACTGCCATTTAAATCCATTTCAACTCAGGCAGTCCAAAGCCAAAAGACTCATGATTTACCACACAGTTCATTACACTGGGGCCCAGCAGAATCAACAGTGTTTCCAGCCACGGTAACCCTCACAGCTCAGCACTGCTCAGTATGTGTCTGCACTCCAGATAACCCCCACAAAGGATCCATGTGCTAATTAGCCTCCTACTCATGACAAGAACATCTAGCTCTAGTCATGAGTCTTGGGGTCCTCCAAAAATGTAGATGCAGGTGAGGTACAGGGAAACATTGTCCAGCGCCACCTCATGAAGGGCAAGGCCAAACTACTCATGCGTAACAGCTGGCAAAGGTATTCTGGGAGAACTGTTTGGGGCCCTGTTTGGTGTTGTTTGCCAGACATTGAAGGCTAGTGAAGAAACAGGAATAATTGGAAACGGGGAAGAAAAGCACAGCTCAGCCGTGAGGAACGAAGAAGTTGAAATGTAGTCAGTGTATTGGCTCACCATGATTTGAAAAAAAGTCAACAGTGAGGGGGACTGAGCACATGGGTTTTATCACATAATCTTATTCAGATATGCTGCACTAATCTATTCTTTGTGGTAGGTTACCCATAGTATTGTGCCCCATATAGGCCAGGTGTTTTATAGTCATGCTCAGTATTGGTTGCCTTTAATCAATCTCATAGCTGGTTGCTATTATTGAGCACATGCTGCTTTTGGCAGCACTTTAATGATAGGCAAGGTATTTAATTAAATTTTCTTGGATGTGAGTATAAAACGAAGACCTCCCCCCCCCCCACCCAGTGCTGACTGGGGGGAAACACCCTGTCTTATATTCAAGTAATTATGGTATATTTTTGAATCTTCAAAAATGCCACGTTGCAAAGTGCTTTGAACATATACTATTTGAATTATTAAAATTAATCTTCACAATGTTGAAGTATTAGCTCATCTGTAAAGTGGAAAAAACAAAGGCAAGAAAATTAAGAAATTTGTCCAAAATCACGCAGAGTTCATGGCAGTGTTTAAATAATCAAAGGTCCCTGACAAATATTAATTTAAATATTAATTTAAAGGCATGATGGGATCTGATCCCAACAACTGCACTTCCTGCTATGCTACATATGCATGGCAGGAACTGTGATGTTAGGATTGAGCATAAAATCCCATCGTGCTATTTGCCAGTGTAGGGGAAGCCTGATTCTGGCAGAAAACTTGGCTCCCTGTGCTCCCCTGGCTGCAAGCCCAGATCAGTTGATCTGGGGTCCCCACTGCAGGAGCAAATGGTGCTCTCCCATACCTGGCAGCTCTGGTCATCTGATCAGGGCTCCCAGCTGTAAGAGCAAAAGAGTGTTCCTGTAGCTGGGAGCTCTGATCAGCTGACTGGAGCTCCAAGCTTCTGGAGTTCATGGTAGTCTTGAATCCAGAATGCTCCAGAGGCTGGGAGCACTGGCCACATAATTCAATTAATGGTACAATGGGAACCAGCCACAAAGTTATTACACAAATTAATAACTTTTTAACTTAATCCTCATTTTATCATGCCATTAACTGAATGAATGTGTGGCCAGGTTATTACTTAAGATGTGATTAACTAATTAATCATGTCTTAAGTGTAATGTCTTTTAGGGGCCAAAAGGTCCTGGCTTCTACAAATAATCTAAGAGTCAAAGGCAATGCTTTAATTGTGTATTTGAATTTGATTACTTTAAAAAAAAAGGCTTCATTATGTTCACAGATATAACAATAAAACAATAACATAGCAGAATACATCAGAAATACTAGGAGAAACCATCTTTGACAATAATTAGCAGGAAAAGTGCTCCCTACTCATGGTCAACATTTAGTGATACGTACAACTCTGGGTATGTCTACACGTCATAATGCTGGGAGACTGGAGGCATACAATTCCATCCACGCAGACTAACTTGCCATGCTGACCAGGACAGACTGCTTTGAAACCCAAGCTAGTTCAAGTATCTCAATACTACCCTGCACTGTGCAATATAGACACACTTTAAAAGAGTAGTTTTAGTTAAACCAGCAATAATCCCTATGTATGCACTCTTTATTTGCATCAATAAACTGGTGCAACTTCATTTGTCTACATAGGCAAATCATAATTTTCTCTGAATAGTTTTAAAGTTAGCTTTCCTACTGAAAGGATGCACTATTAACTATTGTCTCTTACCATGCGAGGGGTAGCAGCATGTCTTCTTGGCCCATATCTTGCACATATTGGAGCAAAGGTCTATAAGGATGATACACTATCAAACAGCAATCCTAGAAATGAGTTTAAAGAAGAAAAAATTAAAACATTTATAATGATCACATGGCTTGTATTGTGAAATCAGTTAGTGGTTCATTTCCCCCCCCCTTTTCTTTTTCAAATATAAGCATCATGACACCTCTGTCATAATGAGGACAGTGCTCTCTCTAGAATACCATTATACAGCATGGTTGCCAGTCTGTCAACATCCTTTCCCCTTAGAGACACAAAGTGACACATCTGCAGCACACTGAACCTTGTTTGCTTACAAACCCATAATTCCCTATTGGAAATACAGAACACTGCCAGAAAACAGTCTGTTACTAAATACCATACGTGAGAAGCTTGCTGGGAAAACAAAACCAAAAAAAATCCAACACTGGTTTTTAAAAATCTACACTATTCTAAATTCTTCCTTACACATTAAGGTTGGAACATACAAAGAGGAACCAACTAAACTCAAATGACCAATTAAAGAGATGCAGAATGTATGTGCTGATATTAGCTGCACTATATCTGAAATAATCAAAAATATCATGTTACAAAAAAGTAACTTTCTGTAAATAGTTGCCTTGCAAGGTAAAAAAAACTATAATGCTGAGAAGACATTCCCAAACCACAGCACAGGAAACAATATTCTAAGAAATTTTAGCTATAAAACACTAGCTAGACTTTAAAAAAATGGGGACATTTAATTGCTGCAGTTAACTCAAGCATTAAAATGATCCATATATTTACAAATAAAAAACATCTCTTATAACCTTGTACATTTAAAGTCCTTGTCTTCTCTTTCTGGGATTTGTTGGTTTCAATAAGAGATGGAGATGTGGTTTTTGAGCTGACTCCCTGTCCAATTATAATCTCTTTGCCTCAGTTTCTCACTCTTCACTATGGCTGCTGACAGGCATGGAAAAAAAAAAACCCAACCCAAAAACAGCACTTTATTTTCAAGCTCATTGTGCCCTTGCACCAAACGCACCACTTGCCTAGAAAAGGAACCACATTAGTTTGACTTGGCTCACCCAAATTCTGTATAGATCAGGAACTTCAACAGGGCTTTTTGGCGCTTTTATCTAACAGCTGACTTGGCTATTAGATAAAAGTTGATTAATCTGATTCAGCTATAAGATAAAAGTACCAAAAAGCTCCACTGAAGTGCCCAATCTATACAGACACTGCGTGAGCTGGGTCAAAGTGACATGGTTCCTCTTCTGGTAAAGTGCAGTTATTCCCCCCCACCCCACATTTGTCAGCATCCTACAAAAACTGAAAATCCCTCGCAGCAGCCTTGGTATCGTGCTTTGATGGCATAAAGCACTGACAAAATAATTTACTATTTGAGCAGTTCCAAGAACTACACATAAGAGGGTCACAGTATTCAGTTCCTCTGGAAAAAGTATTCAGAGGGCTGATATTCAGTTCCTCTGGAAAAAGTATACCTCATAAGTAGACAAACAGAACACCAAATCATAAAATTCAAGTTACAAAAAAAATCAGGTCAGTGTAGGATCAAGCATGCTCTTGTTAGATAACAATGACTAGATAATGAAAAAGAAAGCCACCTACCATTAGTTCTAAGAGATAGAATTCACATTCTAGTATCTGTAAAGAAATAGAAACTGAAGTAAGCAACAATGCCTGCCCAATAGGGAAAAAAAAGAAACAGTTCATCAACATCCAAACCCATACACTTTTCATTATATTTATTTTTTTATACCTACTGTAAACTCTACAAGAAACTGTTCTCCCCAATACCTTCACCAATCTCAAAGTCAAACCACAACCCACTTAAGAAAAATAATAGAAAACATTGTTAGCTAGTCAATTGTCTCACTACATTAAGATGAAACTTATTTCTGAGGACTGAGAGAAAGTAAGTTACCAACCTCCAAACAAATATTTCATTACAGTTATGTAATTTTACAGGTATATACGAAGGGAACTTCATCTTATCCAAGTATTTTTTGTTATCAGCTCCTTTAAACCATTCCTAGATTTATCAATATAGTTATACAAACTGAATGCTGTATCATCAAGAACCAGATTAGCAGTGTGATAAATGTTTTTCTATAAGGCTATGTCTTTGAAAAAGCAGCAGAACTTTGCCCCAAGAAATGTAAATCAAGATGTAGAGATAACATCTGGCTTGCCAGCCATGCTGAATAGCAGTAAAATGAAGAAAGGAGAAGTTAAATTGAGATTAGAAGTTAGTAGTATCTTTTATTTCATGTTTATTCACAGTTGTTGGGAATGTACAGAAATACACGTTGCCCCTTGGGAATGACACTAGAAACTAAAATTAAGTATAGTGGGCAAAGTATATATTGTAAGCCTCTTTGACACCATTTCAGACCACAATACTTTAAAACAAAAAAACTTGGGAAATTTCTTAATTCTAAGGGGACAAAATAAAAATCCTTAATGTATATCAGTTTTTTGAATGTGTGAATCTGGCAGGTAACCCAGGACATGGGACTCTGTGTAACCTGCATAAATTTAAAACCTAGGTTTTTCCATCACTTTGTAAGTACTGATATTATATTCAGTTCCTTTAACAGCATTTGTTCCTATTAAAGGAAAGCAACCTATACAAGAATTAGTCCTCTCAAACTCCAAACAGCAAGTGAATTTTTCAAAGGAAAGTTCTCCCAACCATTTATCCAAAGTTTATTTAGATACCTTGACATATTGGTAAGAATAATTTTATCTATAATTTATATTGCAAAGAATGACTAACTTCTCCATGCACAACCAGAAAAAATGGTCTCCAAAGGATAATCTGGGTAGGACACAGCCTATTTTTGCTAAAATTTAGCACCAATATAGAGACTTGGGATATGCTTACCCAGCGCAAGGCTGCACTAGGCAGACAGCTCAGATAGCTCTGTGCATACTAGATCCTAAACTGCAAACAGTATAGTGGTGTTCATACAGCACTGTGTCGAGCTTTACAAGCCATGCATGAAATTATACTCCTGTTTTGGAGCTAGCATACAAAGAGCTAATCCTGGTATCTCTGCATGGAACTGTCTTGTACCATGTGGACATACGCTTAAGTGCATCTTATTACAAAGCTGTACAACACATAACTACTAACTGGATAGGGGCCATAGCCCTGGGTGTTGATTTGAGGACATGAGAGGCAGGCAGGACATGGGGGGAATAGAGATGCAAAACTAGCAGCAACCACAGTACTGGTCCAGTTACTACCACTGGCAGTGGAGATGCAGTTAGTGACCTGTGCAGAACTGGGTACATATCTATCCAGTTACACCTTTGTGTATACTGCAAGTCATATGAATTAAAAAGGCAAAGAGAATAGAGAAGGGAAGAAAACTTTCCCATTATTGCTAAAAGTCACATCACTAAGTTAATATGAAGATGTTTCATCCAATATACTTACATGATTCATCCTATAAGGAAACTCCTTCGGAAAGGCATATGAAAACCTAGTTTTCACTATAAGAGAGAGATTAAAATAATGAAAACATGAAACCAATATTCTGTTTTACTAATTTCTATTAATTCATCAGCATGCAGACCTGCAAATCTTTTTATTGGCCTTTAATGATTTATTGATATATGGTATACAAGATCTTTCCCGACTCAGGCAGATGGTTGAACTAGATGACCTCTTGAGGTTCCTTCCAGCCCTACTTCTCTATGATTTCTAAAATATCTATAAAAGAACAATTCTCCTTATAAGTCTAAGTCTGATTCTCAGTCTGATTATATAGTTCAAAGGCTAAAAGGTGAAAAAAAACATTTAATAAAGACTGAGGCCCAGGTCCTCAAAGATACTTAGGCACCTGCCTGCCTATTTTAATAAGCAAAGTATACCACTGACATGCTCCTGATACTGTATAAACCACTTTCTGCAAAGCGGGGAGGAACAAAGTTTCCATTGTTCAGCATTCACAAAGCTGCCTAAGCACTGATGCTGCTCCACAGCTAATGAGCTGCTTGGAGCCCTAACTCCTAAGTGGGATTCTCAAGCAAAGCTGGAGAAATATTTCTGCCAGTGGGTGCTGATTCTGGGGTGTGCTTTGAGTGTGTAAATCCCACAGAAAAGCCAGCAAAGTGTCAGAGTATATGGGCACATGCATTTTTGTCCATCCTCGTCATTGGGAAACTCACTTGGGATTATGGGAGACCCAGCTTCAAATTTTTCCTTTACCTGATTCAGGGCAGGGAACAGACCCAACTGCAGATTAGCTGCTCTGCATTAAACAAAAGCAAGACACTGCAGTTCACCTACAGAAGACTGTTGTTCCAGTATGGCTCTTTAATTGCCTGTTAAGTTGGGTACCACACTTTTTCAGATGGATAATGAAAAGAATCCCAATTTTTTAAAAGACTGTAGTAAAGTGATAAGATTTAGAAAGTGAGCCAGAGCCACTTCTCTACTGAGCAGTTCTCCAATTAGTTGCAAGGTTAGAGTGCCTTTCCAAAGGGATTTTTAGAGGTCAATCTGAGATGCTCTCTTCCCAAGAGGAAGGCACAGAAACTGCTTGCAAATGTGAAAACAAACAAAGCAAAACGGCGCTTTATTTTAAACTTAGCATGTTCCAGTGCATGCCTAGAAGAGGCAGCGCGTTAGTTGTACCCAGCTTTCCCAATGTCTGTATAGATCATGTGCTTTAGTGGGGCTTTTTCAGAACTTTCATCTCATAGCCGATTGAATCAGCTTTAGCTAAAAGCACCAAAAAGCCCTGTTGAAGCACCTAATTTATACAGAAGCTGCTGCTTCCAGTAAAGTGCTTTTTTAACATCTGCAAACAGCCTGACTTCTCAGCACTCCTCAGTTCCTTTCACTTATTTTTTCTTTTCTACAGGCCTCAAAATAAATAAACCTGTGATAATTAAGCATAATTAAGAAGCTCTGCTAATTGAAGCCTGAAAACAGACTGAAGACTGTGAGGATATAGAGAAAGAAATTGTTCTTTGTCCTCACTCCTAAAGACAGAGGAATATTCTTAAGAGGGATAAAGGAAGCACTACAGAAGTGATTCCTCTGTAGGGTCCTGATGCTGAGGAATTTAAGAAAATAAAAAAATAGGGAATAGGAATAGTAAGAGTCCAACATAAAGAAGTAAATCTATTCCTCTATACACAGCTATTGTGTTCATACTTTCCTCACTGATTACCATAACAAATCTGCACCCAGATAAGAATTTTATGCAAAATGGTAAACCACTATGATGCTCAATGCTTGTGGAGGTCCAGCATTGCATCTCAGTTCCTGGTAGTAGAACTGTCACAAGGTCACCATGGTGTGATATATGCAGGCTAGAAAGGCAGCCAATCACCTATCGTCTCAAGCTCTAGAAGGGATTTTAAATGCAATGACCTACATTTTGAAGAGCAGAGCAGAGTATTAAGAAATAGATGGCTGTAAAACAGCTGGACCTTCTAGGTTAGATCATGTGGGTCAGCTGCATGTCTCTAACTTTAAGGATCTCAATAATAAGATAGAACAGGGGTTTTCAACCTTTTTTACTAAATGTATCCCAGTGACCCCCCTTTTTAATAAGTGTATTCCTGGGGGGAGGGGGCAAGTAGCTGGCTGGCGGGGGGGGGAAGGTGGCGAGTGGCTGGACAGTGAGTGGGGGGGAGGGGTGACAGCAGCAGCGCAGCACCTGTGCGGCCCACAGAAGGGCACCGCTGCTCTCACCCTGGCCCAGGTGTGCTCCTGTGAGGCAGCGGCCCCACCCACCCCTGCGTACCCTTTGGGACCTTTCAAAGTATCCCCTGGGGTACACGTACCCCTGGTTGACAACCTCTAAGAAGGGAGAAGCATGAAATAAATAATTGTAAATTAGGAGGGAAATTCAAAATTGCTTTTTTTACCTACTAATATTATTAAAACAAAGCCACCTCTTGATTCATCTATGAAAATTATTTTTCAACTGTAACAAGGAATATATAATTTTCTAATAAAAAGGTGTTATTAGAAAAACAACTAGAAAATATAGAGCTTGCTAGGACTTTTTACAAAAAAAATGTAGTTCCACAAGGACTAATCATTGAGGCAGACATTAAAAAAATAAAAAAGCTCTATACCTTTAATTTATTCCACAACTCTAATTTCAGTATGAAGGTGGGGTTATTTTGAGAGAGAAAGATATTTGATTGATAAGTTTTCAAAAGAACTGATGGCAGTATAAACAGAAAAGACTTTCTTCCACATACACACTTAAATCTGAAGTCTTATCAAAGCACAAATGATTTAAGCAGATTGCCCTTTTACAGAGTGAAGTGAAAAAACTCATCAAATCATGGTAGGCATTATTTTCCTTACTAAGTGACTACCTTCAAAGGGACTCCTTAATACAGCATAAACAATGTTTACACTTACATACAGAAGTAGCAGCAGAAATCAACCTTGTGTTTGAAACCACACCAAATTCCTGAGCAAAAAAACCAACAGCAAATAAGGTGCTTCAATTGAAATGTTATTTGATCACATTGTTTATCAAACTACTTGGTGTTTCTTACTAGGCAGCTTCTTCACACTGCATTCTAATTAAATATTCTCTCTCTGTAAGCATTTTGGTGATCAAAATAAGTTGAATGGTCTATGAAAAGCTAAATAGCAATTACAGCAGCACACATTCTTGTCTCAAAATGAACATAGCTGCTACAATGTTTATAACTGGAAATAAAAAGCCCAGGGGTGGTAAATTCTGATGACCCTCATATCTACATCTAAATCACAGTATTGTTGTTCTTAATATTGTAACAACAACAACAGGGACAAAAATATGGAGTAGAATTTTTATATTTGGAAACTAGAATAAAGAAAAAATGAAATTAAACCACTAAAAATATATTTTTAATTGTACACTTTTTTGTTAAATTACATTAAATGGAAGAGTAATCTACACATTCTGTCAAAATCTTCAAGATCCTTCAGGGCTGAGAAGATAGGCCAATAAGTCAGACAAAGTACTAAAAGATGGTGAACAGCATCTGTCAATCTATCACTTTTCCCTTGCTTCCCCTCTTATGGATTTTTTGTAGTGCTCTAGAAACAGAAAACTTTGAACCCCAAAATATGAAATAAAAACAACAAAAATATCATAAGAATGTGCAGTATCTCCCTCATGCATGATAAAATTTTACATTAGAAAACTGAAATATTTCATACCTCTACTTTGGATGCCAAAAATACACATGTAGGAGCCATTAATACTGGATCTATACTTTTTAGGGAGTATCTGAAATATTATAACAAATTATAAAATATCATTTTGTGCACAAGAAAGATTAGTCTGCCAAGACCACCACACTTTCTTCCAAAAAGCAAAATCTAAGGGTGCCTATACACATGCTCTGATGCATTCTAATTAGAACACACTGGAGCAGACTGTCTGCTCCATGTTCTAATTAGAACACTCTAGTATCACTGCAGCTCCCACAGGGTCAAAAATTGCTGCTGGGGCATTTTAACTAAAGCTCACTGAATGAACTTTAGTTAAAGTGTCCCACAGCCTCTTTTAAATGTGTGGGGGCTTAATACACATGATGCTGCAGCTCTCCAAGAACCATTCTAATTAAAATGCCACCCCACCACACCCGAGTACATGTATAGGCACCCAACGTTAACATTAACATAAAATTAACATAAAAGCTTTACACCATCCAGAAGCAACAGTTGCATTTCAAAAAGTCTATGAAAATCTGCCTAACAAATGCTTCACTCTCATACCATCATAGTAAATAGTCCTACCTGGCATAGAATCTCTTGAAGTAGACAGTGGCAGTGGCAATAACTTGTTGTCTTAATTTAAGATGTTCACCTAAAGCCTGGATAACTTAAAAAAATGAACAAAAACTTGAGTTCAATCTTTCATATGATGACACCACATACTGAGGCTCTCAAGTATGGTCTACAGGAAAAACTGAATTTTGGGGGTTCTGAAGAGTAGGCAGATGTCCCTCCTTTCAGTTCAAATGTGTTATTTCCCCATCCAAAGATTATATGCTCTATGAGGCCATGGTGACTGAGGGGCTAGCACTGCATACTATACTTGGGGGCCAGGTGGCCTGAACCTTTAAAGATGAGAATAACAATTTACTTCATTATTTCCTTAGGAAGTTGACAACACAGCACTCAGAGGGGCAAAGTTTGGGTGTCTCACTTTTCCGTCTAAAACTCAAATGTTTGAGTCCTACTTTTTTATTTAAAAGGCATTTGCAAAGCAGACACTCCTTGCAAATGCCTAAAGCTGCCAGCACATATTACACTGTATTTGGCAGTGGCAGCAGGTGCTAAAGAACTGACATATTTAGTCTAGAGGAAGGGGGTGGGAGACCAGAGGAAGTAGTCAGCTGCATCACAAGCATTCTTTGCCAGCTGGCCAAGAAACAACCCTGGTGTCAGCTGTGCAGGTAGGTCTTGTTTGGCCTCCCAGGCAAAGGAAAGTTGCCAAGCACATTAGATGCATCAGTCTAGGATACAGAGCAGGGATGGGATTAGAGAATTATGGAGTGAAACATAAGGTTTTTCTGCTCGCTAGTTTTCCTGCACTCCCCTTCTGTTATTCAGCTGAGCATGGCACTTATGTATCAGCATTCTACATTTTACAGACAGGTATTAAGTTAAATATTTAAAAATATAAATTCATTTATATATCAAACACTGGCACTAGATCAGGACAGCAGCAATTTAAGGCATTGGTTAAAGTGCATAACATTTCTTAGCACTGTCAATCTCCCAGAGACAACACAAACACTTCTTGCTCCTCAAGTCAAGGACACAAACACCTCCAGTTTGAGGCACACAGATTTTGAGAGCATGGGTAACTGATGACAGGGTCAGCCAGAGAGAAGCCTCTCTCAATAGCCCAGATCCATGACCATCTGGCTCACCCCCTCCAAGATGGCACTAATGCAGCTGAGCCTAGGCTGTTAATGACAATATAGTTCATGGCTAAGCAATGCCACCAGGGAAGAGGCCAAACTTCAGTATGGAACATTTCTGTAAATATCTCGGTACCCACATGCTCTCCAGTGAATCTTGTGATGTTTTTACCACTACAAAATTGTCCATCCTGAACTGACCACAAAGCTAAAAAGTCATCTTCCTCCTACAGTGCTGGAAAATCCACTTAGCAAACCACACAAAATAATCTAAATCTGTCTATCCTGAAGGATTATTTTGCAGGAAGAAATGGTTAAGCCATCTGTGTTGTCAAAGAGAAAAACTGAGCGAGATTTAGTGGGGGACAGGGGCAGGAAGTATGTTATTTACTCAGTGTCTACAGCAGTGGTTCCCAACCTGCAGACTGGGACGGGGCCCATGGAGCCCACTGTCTCCCTCCTGGGGCTGCCCCGCTCCCCAGCTTTAACCCTGCATATCACTGCCGGTGGTGGAAGCAGCTTGCCTGGCCGGACAGACAGGGGTCTGAGCAGGGGGCTCATGCTGTGAGTTGGCAGCCAACCCTCCACGGCCCAGTACCAGGCCACAGCCCAGTGGTTGGGAACCTCTGGTCTAGAGAAACCTAATGAAACTGAAGCTTATACATGCTGGGAAAGGGGAGGCTGGAAATTTTAATAGTCAGCACAAAAACTGAAGTTTTCAGTTAAATAAATGTAATAACTCTATTAGATCAGTTCACCCTAGTTTTTGAGACATTCAAAATATTTTTTTTAAATGAAGAATGTTGTGCTTTAATCCTAAATATTCTTCTGAATAAGAAGTAAATGCTTGTTTTACATCTTTTCTGCTACTGCATGAAAACCAGAAAGGGAAACTGATTAGCCTACTCTTTCCTCCAAGGGGACTGTAAACAATCACAATCCTACAGATGGGAGTCCATTAATTTCCAACTCTGGAAGATGTCATGGACTTGATACACATTTTATTTTAAAGCTGACATTTTGACAGCAGAAGCAACTGTTACTCATTTAATTAGTTTCATAGTTTGTAGGATCGGAAGGGACCTCAGTTAGGGATCGACATCAAAAGTGAAACCGACAAATCGGCTGTTTCCTTTATCCAACAGGAGTGGAAAGCTAAAAGGCAAAAACATTTAGATTCTCAAAGTATTTTACTTTTAATAACCTAAGCTAATATTAATATCATAACTAAGGAAGTGGGGTTTTTTTTAATGGTTTTAACCTATTGTTTCCCTTTTAGGTCTTGTTGCATTATGAAATATCTGGTTCATCCTTTTTTTCTTTTCTTTTTTTTTCCCCTTTACTTTATCCTCAAGAAACTTTAAGCTAATTAATAAATTAGATAAATAACAGTCCTCAATCAGGTTTCTGGTACTATACAAAAGTTAAACTCTCCAAATGATCTGTCATCTTATTTTGCAGAGCACTTTAATTTTGATAAGTATAAATAAAAACAGATTAATTAAAAGAAGGAATAAAACCAGAAATGGGAGATAAAATAAACATTTTATGGATGTAAAAAACAAACAAACAAAAAAACAACACCCAAAAACGGCATTTTACTTAAACTCACCTCCACGCTGAGCTCAATGCATGCCCAGAAGAGGCATCACATTAGTTGGACCTGGAAAGCCCAACATCTGTATAGATCAGGAGCTTCAGTGGGATTTTTTTGGTGCTTTTATCTAATTGCTGATTGAACAGTTTTAGATAAAATGCCAAAAAGCCCCACTGAAGCACCTGATCTATACAGATGCTGGGGAGTAAGGTCAAACTAATGTGCTACCTCTTTCAGTAAACCATGGGGGGGTTGTTCACGTCTGTCAGCAGCCTAAAACACCAGCAGTGACATGGATTTTTTTCAGCAGCCAATAAAGCAGGGGTGGGCAAAATGGATGATCTGCCTGGCAGCCAGACTCCATTTCCCAGTAGCCCCTGCCCTCATGGCTTGGGCCAGTCTCCATGGAGACCCCAGCCACACCTGTGTGGAAAGCTCAGGCTGGGGTTGCCACGAAGACCAGCCTGAGCCACCTGGGCAGCATATGCAGCAGAGCAGTGCAGGGGGCTGCTCTGGAGCTGCTGGGAACTTGCGATGAGGGCAATTTGCTCCAGAGCCAGGGTAGAGCCATGATCTGTATCCTGCATGCTCTGGGCAGGGGCACGCAAGCAGGGGATTGTGGCTCTGTCCCAGCTCCTTGCAGCTATGACAGCCTGGTCTGGAGCCGGGGTAGAGCTACAATGCACACCCCTGCCCAGAGCATCCAGGCTACAGATCACAGTTCTGCCCTGGCTCCGGAACAAGCTGCCCCCATCACAAGTTGCCAGCGGCTCCAGAGCAGCCCCCTGCGCTGCTCTGCCACGCACGCTGCCAGCAGGACTCAGGCTGGTCTCCAGGGCAACCCCAGGCTGCACTTTCCACACAGGTGCGACTGGGGTCTCCGTGGAAACTGGCCCAAGCCATGAGGGCAGGAGCAGCTGGGAAATAAGAATCCACAGCCAACCAGATCTGGCCCACAGGGTGGAGTTTGCCTGTCCCTGCAATAAAGACACAACTTTTCTGTCCTATTCTCTGCCTCAATGCCTGAGAAAATGAATGTTACCTACTTTACTAGACTGATAATAGGAAGGAAAACTTAACAAGATCTCTCATAACATCTTTGAGAAATATACCTGCATCTAGTTCATACATCTTTCAAATGCATATATTAATATAACTTTTTAAACACGTTAAGAGAATATATACATAAAAATAGGAGAAACCGAAGCTCTAGGTAAATGAACCATGAATTCAGATACATAGGTATGGCCCAAATTAGACAGCTAATCAAAAATAAAACCATTTTACCATTAGTAAAAAATATCTGAAGTTTCCAATATTCTTCTTCTGCTAGAAATTTCAAGTCCTTCTGGCGTTCTTTCAACAGATCTTGTTTATCCAAAATCCACTGTAAACTAGGAGGGAAAAAAATAATTCACAAATATTATACAGTGACTTGTGAACAAATAAAGTATAGTTCATATCTGGGGATGAAACAGGCTGGGGTGCATCCCTTTCTTTGAGTCTTGTAATGCTAGATACATTCTTGCATGTGCATCCCTTTAATTGAGTCTTGTAATGCTAGATACATTCTTGCAAAATGAATGCTCATTAGGGCTTTCAAAATCAGGCCCTTTGAGGAAAAATAGTCACCAGAAATAAGAGGCCTTCTCAACGCTAAAAATGTCAAATGCATTAGTTATTAGTTAAAAATAAAGTCTGAGAGATATACTACATACAGATTTTATTTTAGATGCCACACATTTAAATTCAATATACTCAGTGCTAACGATACTTGGACACAGCTCATTCTATGCCAACTTTTCTATAGGGGAAATATATTTGATTCGCTGTGACTTTCTTTGCCGGAAAAGCTTTTAAATCTCCTTCTCCCCCTCTCTGTGGTGTAGATAAGGGATATCAAATCTCTCTTGGATTTTATGGCTCAATCTGGCCTCTAGCAAGGCTTATAGCATCTGCATCAGCTCAGGGAACTACAGCCATCATTGAAATATGTCCCTGGTCATACTCTGAAATACCTGCCAGAATTCAGTGGTAGCCCCTGTCTCTCCTTGCCCTGCCCCCAAATTCCCAATCCCTCCTGAAGCCCCATGGACCAGATGACAGATACAACTCTGTAGGTTGTATCTTTGCCACCTTGCACCTCGGTGCAGATTATTAGATACTAAGTAAAGACCAACACAAGCATTCCCCAAGACTTTCCTTCGACAGCCTTAACAATGCAATGGCTTTTTAAAAAGCAAAAACTGCAAGACAAGTTTTAAAAAGCTGGCTTTGCACCCACTGAGCAGCTGTGTTTTATAAATTCATAGATTGCTAGGGGCTGGAAGGGACTTTGGAAGATCATCAGGTCCAGCCCCCCTGCACTAGGCAAGAAAGATACTTGGTCAGGTGCCCCCTGCAAGGTGACTGTCCAGTCTCCTCTTGACGATTTCCAGGGTAGGCGATTGTGAAATGAGCTCCCTCCAAAGGTGGTACAGTCTGGACACCCTAACTTGTGAAGAAGTTTTTCCTAATGTTGAGCCAGAAATGGTCTTCTAAGAGTCTGTGGCCATTACTCTTGGTTCTCCCCAAAGGTGCTCTGGAGAACAGTTTTTCACTTGGTGTACTCCCCTGATAACAGAAAGTTGCTACCAAGTCCCCTCTCAGCCTTCTCTTTTTTAAGCTGAAGAATCCCAGATCCCTCAGCCTTTCCTTGTATGGCTTGCTGTGTAAGACTCTGATCAGATGGGTGGCTCTTCTTTGGACTCTCTCAGGCTTGTCCATGTCCTTGTTAAAGGGTGGTGCCCAGAACTGAATGCAGTACTCCAGCTGCAGTCTCACCAGTGCTGAGTAAAGCAGAAGAATCACTTCCTTGGTTTTGCCTGAGATGCATCGATTGATGCATGCCAGAGTATTGTTTCCCTTGCTGGCTCCAGCACCACACTGCCGACTCATATTCATACTGTGGTCTATTACTAGCCCTAGGTCCCTGTTATTTTTTTCCCCTTAGTATTACTACTTGAGTTCAGACCTTTGAGTTAGGTTTTGTATGCCAGACTTTGGTAAATATGCCAGACAGCCCCCAGGGAGGAGGAAGAGGTGGTTGCGACTGATTTGAAGAGCTGCTGCAGTCACAGATCCTGCATGTGTATTTGGTGCACGTTGGGGGAAGAGGGGAGCAGCTCATCTGTGTGTTATGCACCCTCCTGAAACCGATGTGAAACCCATCAGCTGCTGGTGCGCCTTCCAGTTTTCCCAACATGGGATTTCTTTTCTGGCCCACAGTCAGCTTTCTTCTCCCAAGCCAGGCAGCAAGAGAAAGAAAAATGAAAGGGCTTCCAAAAGAGCAAGTAGGCAGAGGAAAACGACTGGCTGTTTCAAGACCCTGGCGACCCAACACGCAAAACACGCTCAGGCTTAGTCATCACAGAGAAGTGGACCTGCAGAGATCATCGAGGCAGGGTCATCCCTGACAAAACCACCCCATTAGGAACAGGAACGGCTCCCCTGGGGTCACTCCCATGGGCAGCCCCCACAACCAGGGGCTACAGAAAGGCTGTTTTCAGACCCCCTGGCACTGACAACAGGGACCAGCAACGTGGGGGGCGGGAATCGTCTTGCACCCCCATGACACACTCGCACGTGCGTTTAGAACCCCTCCCCCCCGGGACGTTCC